ACCTGAGCCGAAGGCAGTCGCTTAACCAACTGAGCCACCCAGGCGCCCTCTCAGCTTGGTTTTTAGAAGGCTTCAAATAACAGCAGGATACTGAGGATGCTAGAGACTAGATATGCTATTTCTGATGTGATCATTTGGGAGGTAGGCCGAAGAGCGGACTGAAGCAATTTTCTCTTATTCTAAGTCTTGAAGAAAAATGAGTTAGACAGGCACAAGTGAAGACCAAAGTTCTAGGTTTTCTAGTCGCAACAACGAATTCCGATTCGGTCATTTCCATTTGACCCTTGACCAATTAATTGTCAGTAGAGTTATAATTAGGCTGTATCATATGATGACCACTTTACTTAAAACTACAGTTTACCCCCACCAGGCGATAACTATAATCATTTAAATCAACAAAATACACTTGGCTTTCAACATTGGCAACTTACTTCATGTGTGTATGAGTTATACTTAATTAAACTTTTAGCTCCTAAAAATCATGTCTTTCAATTCTCCTCATATCCCCAAAAAGGCCAACTACAGTACTTTGCACATAAGGGACCAAAAATTACTACTTAATATTACAACAAAGAAAAATCATGGTCTAACCCATGTGGATTATCTGGTTAAAAAATATATATTATGCCAAAGAAATATAACCAGCTTATCTTGGAAAAACACAATTGCAAACTCATCTCTGGGTTCCCATTACACTAACTAATCAACAGTCTGTTAACATTCCATTTGAATTAAATACCTCATTTAAAAATAGTGTCACGTGGGGTGCCTGGGTGGCTCAGTCGGTTAAGCGACTGCCTTCGGCTCAGGTCATGATCCTGGAGTCCCTGGATCGAGTCCCGCATCAGGCTCCCTGCTCGGCAGGGAGTCTGCTTCTCCCTCTGACCCTCCCCCCTCTTATGTGCTCTCTCTCTCTCTCTCATTCTGTCTCAAATAAATAAATAAAATCTTAAAAAAAAAAGTGTCATGTGACTGCATGTGACATGCAAAGCTCTCAGAAACTGACAGTAAACAGTAAAATCCCATTCTAATGAAACAGATCTAAAAACATTTTGAATGTCATTTAATGGACTACCATGGTGAAACTTTTACGTCCAGTTTCAGATGAAGTATACAGTTTGGTTAACTGTGCTATTAGTATCTGGCTCTGCACTTTCTTCTGCTCAGCAATCCAGGTCACTTTCTGTGTGAAGAGCTAATTACTCTGCCCCTCAGTCCTTCCATCGACAATCTGTCACCTTCCTCCCCCATCTCAATTCCCCCCAATGTACCTTTTAAAATAAAATCAGTTCATGTTAGAATACATATAAAAACAGTGAGAGGCCCCCCAAAATGCTTTTGCTACAGAAACTAGTGCCTAGGTGAATTGCACACGATGAAGATTTCTATTACACAGAAATCTGCGTCGATTAATAGACTGATGTAATGTGTTCATCAAAGAATTGCTACGTTACAATCTGCTGGTACAGAGAAATAGATTCATATAGAATACTAGGAACCTTATGTCTAAATTGGATTCTCCCTGTTGTAGTTCAATAGTAGTATTCTTTTTTTTTTTTTTTAAGATTTTATTTATTTATTTGACAGAGAGAGACACAGCGAGAGAGGGAACACAAGCAGGGGGAGTGGGAGAGGGAGAAGCAGGCCTCCCGTGGAGCAGGGAGCCCGATGCGGGGCTCGATCCCAGGACCCTGTGATCATGACCCGAGCCGAAGGCAGACGCTTAACGATTGAGCCACCCAGGTGCCCCCAATAGTAGTATTCTTGAAAGTAATCAATTTCCAAGTGGAAAATACAGTCATTTCTTAGCTAAAAGGCATGCCATAAATGAAGCTCAAGTCACATCTACAGGATTCTTATTTTAGGAAGTTCTTACTCAAAGCCCCTTCCCTTGCATTAGCCCTGCAATCAATAACAATAACATTGCTCAAAGTAAGGTAATACTTTTACTTATTCTAAGAAGCCTTTAGTCTTCGATATACATACCAACAGTGTGGATAGGTTTCCTATAGGGCATCAGGCCAAAATTGTATTGAAAAATTCCTCTGGCGTGGAACAGCGGCAAAGCAAACCCCATGACCTTCTGTAGCTTCTCTTGCACAGTTCGAAGCCATGAGCCTTCAGGGTTGTTAACTTGTTTAAATAGCTCATTTTCTCCAAAAGAAAACACTGGGACCAAGGAGGCGCTACAAACAAAGCGGAAGAATACAAATTTTTAAGGAAAATGATTTAAGTATTTTATTCTGTTCAGATGACTTTTGCAACATATCCCAACAATTTTTCTTTTTTTTCTTTCAATCTTTTTATTCATTTATTTAATTATTATGTTCAAATAGGCAGCATATAGTACATCATTAGTTTTTGATGCAGTGTTCAATGATTGGGCATGCGTTGTGATGGGCACTGGGTGTTGTACGCTACTGATGAATCACTGAGCCAAGAATTTTTCAATGTTCCCATGTCTCCCTATACTGCTAATTTCATGTTCCAATCAATGAAGCTGATTTATACTTGAAATCCTTTGGGGCAGGGCGCCTGGGTGGTTCAGTCGTTAATCATCTGCCTTTAGCTCAGGTCATGATCCCAGAGTCCTAGGATCGAGCCCTGCATCGGGCTCCTCGCTCCGCGGGAAGCCAGCTTCTCCCTCTCCCACTCGCCCTGCTTGTGTTCCCTCTCTTGCTGTGTCTCTGTCAAAAAATAAATAAAATCTTAAAAAAAAAAAAGAAAGAAAGAAATCCTTTGGGGCAGTACTTCAGCAGCTTAGCAATTCGTGGTATTTTATTCCATAGAAAAATCAAGGCTCCGGGAAGCTTCCTTTCCACCTAGAGTCCAGACCATGATTTGTTTGTTCATTTGGCTGGAAATTTATACTCTGTATATAAAATTTTGTACTTTTTGCTTGCTTTTTAAAATTTTTATTTATTTTTAAGATTTTATTTATTTATTTGACAGAGAGAGAGACAGCGAGAGAGGGAACACAAGCAGGGGGAGTAGGAGAGGGAGAAGCAGGCCTCCCACTGAGCAGGGAGCCCGATGCAGGGCTTGATCCCATCATGACCCGAGCCAAAGGCAGACACTTAACGACTGCGTCACCCAGATGCCCCTGTTTGCTTTTTTAAAAAAATATTTTATTTATTTACTTGAGAGAGAGAGAAAATGCGTAGGAGGGGGAGAAGCAGAGAGAAAGGGAAAAGCAGACTCCCTGCTGAGCAGGGAGCCCAATGTGGGGCTCAATCCCAGGACCCTAGGATCATGACCTGAGCTGAAGGCAGATGCCCAACAGACTGAGCCACCCAAGTGCTCCTGTTTGCTTTGTTTTTAAAGGTGAGTTTAACTTCTGGATGCCATGGCACTGCACTACCTTAGGGGGAACGTTGTATGCCATTTCCCATGAACATCCACATCTGCTTTTATTTGAAGGTCAGCTAAGAGGAAGTCTGTGTTTAAGGACTGGAGAAATTACTTTATTTTTCTGTGTTCATTTAATAACATCTTAACTTCTCTGACCCAGGTACCTGAAATGAGAAGCTACTTACCCGTGGGTCAAAGCAATTTTAACAAATCCTTTCCGTTGGCGGATGAACAGAGTGAATTTTCCAGGATGGGCATCCAGTGATTCCTCTGCACCCCCAAGAACAATGACTGAAATGTTTCCACCTTCCTCCTTGCTCAGCACATGGGACACACTTTTCTTAGAAACTGAGACTGACCCTTAATGAATAAAACAAAAGGGCTAAGTATTTATCTTAAAAATTAAAATATTTCTCTCATAATATTCAATGGCATCAGTGAACATTTAACAAAATTCCCTAGAACATCTTGCTTAAAATTTTGTCACAGCCGGATCTTTGGTAATATATTCCATTCATAAAATATAACATTTTGTCAGGTGATTGGGTTAGGTCTTTAAAATGTCATTTGTTATTAGATCTTCCACTTATTTGGGTAGGTTGTACGCTGCTCAACTCTATGGATTCTATTCATATTGCACTATAAGTGAAAGGTGCCCTCTGCAGTTGTTCAGTGCACAACCTGCATAGCTGTACGTGGTGACCTTGATCACTACCCTGGTGAATCCTGGCTCAGAACCAAAAAGCATATTCTTTAGAGGAGGTTTCACTGGATCTTCTGAACACACAAGGGCCTGTTTTCAGATATTTTGTGTGGATTCTTGTTTCCCAAACCTAGATTTATAATGTAAATGATTTATTTCAAAAATTCAGACATTTGACAAATAACCAGATCTTTACATGGTTCCAAAATGTCTAGTCTGACTTTGATAAATTGTTTATTTAAGCTAGTTATATAATTGTTTGGTCTTTGTACCAGGCTTTCCCACATAAAAATAACTTTAAAGATTCCTTTTCAGATTTTGAATGTACTATGTACTCTTGGAGGAAAAGGCCATGAACTCTTACAGGGAAAAAAATATGAAAATACAAGCCACTCGTGACCTATATTAAAGAGATAATTGCTTTTTAAAGTTTTATTGTTTCCTTTCATTCATGGCTTTATCCATTTTTTGAGTCATAAGAGAATGTGTCAGACAGGCTTTATTAAGACACAACACACCCTCATTTCTCAAAGGACAATTATATGCTCATTTTACTGTAAGTGCCTATTACTGGGGGAATATAAAATAATGCAGGATTCTGAGTGAGCAACCACCTACTAAAGAGGCAGAGGGTGGTGGGTTAGAGGGTAGAGTACCTGAGTCTCAACGGGTTTGAACTTCTACTGGGTTCAAGGCATGGCCATTCTGCTCTGCATGCCCTGAGTGGGAGCTGGAGGCATAACTTCCATTGGAAAGAGGGCCTTCTGAGTTTCCAGACACCGGCCCTCCTCTGGCCACTTCTCAGTTCCTTCTCTGAGCTCCCTTTACTAACTGCTGCTATGTCTTAGGGCTCTAAGAACTACATATTTGTATTCCTCTAAAATTTCTATGTTGAAACCCTAATCCCCAGTAGGATGGTATTAAGAGGTAGGGCCTTTGGAAAGTAATTAGGTCATGAGAACATAGCCCCCAAGATGGGATCAGTGTCCTTGTAAAAAGAGGAAGAGGGGGAGGGTGCTGTCTCTCCGTCATGTGAGGACATAACAAGATGGCTGCCCGCAAGCCAGGAAAGGAGCTCGAACCAGACACCAGATCTGCCAGCGCCTTGATCTTGGACATCCAGCCTCCAGAACAGCGAGAAATAAATGTCTATTATTTAAGTCACCCAGTCAGTAGCATTCTGTTATAGCAGGCTGTACTAAGACAGGCTCCTTCATAGTCTCTAACACCTTCTAATGTTATCTGCATACATGGATTCAAATACCACTTATGTGTGCTGAGTTCTCCCAAATCTATCTCCTGGGACCTCTTCTTCCTGAGGCTCTACACCCACACTTCCCGATGGCCCAATGGACGTGTCTACCTTGCCAACTCAAAGACACCTCAAACTCCATGTTTCCAGACCCAATGCACTGTATTCTTCTTGCAACATTACCCCTCAAGGTGAGTGGGACCATCATCTACCTTGTCACGCAAGTCAGAGGTGTAGGCTCCTCCCAAACATATTCCCGTCTTCTTAGCAACCATGTTGACTCCACTCATTCCTTCATTCAAAACACTTGTTGAGCACCTGCTCCAGGCAAGGCACTGGGCTAGATGCTGATCATACGACATACACAGTTGCTACCTTCCTGAGGCCGCAACAATCACTATGTCTTGTCGAATCCATCAGCTATTCTTCATATCGACCTCCTCTGGGCTCTGCGTGGCTGTTGTGATCTGATCTCTGCTACCTGCAGAGCCTTACTGGGCACATGGGAAGGAACGTGAGCCTCAAAACACAGAATGTGCCCTGGCTGACAGCTGATGAGTAGAGAGTCGCCAAAATGGACCAAGAGGAAAAGTCTGGAGGGGGGACTTACAGGGACTTAGAGTGACAGAAATCCCATGGGTAAGAGCAAAACAGGCACTGGTCAGCAAAGGACCTCTGAAACTCTATTGCTTCTTTACTACATGAGGTTTGGTACACATGTCTGTCTGTCTTTCACACCCAGAGAGGCAACCACCAAGGAAGGCACAGAGTAAAAGGGCAGCCTTGGGCCAGCGCCTGTCCTGGAAGCTGGTTCTAGGAAAAAATTGAGAACTCTCCAAATTTTGAGATAAGGATGCCCTGAAACTCTACCAGCTACAAATGTGGATATTTTTATTTAGCTTCTAGGATATCTCAGGTTATAGCAAAAAGGAAAAGATCTCATGATATCATAAGCCAGAAAGAACAGACAAGTTTAATCTCAAATGCCAGCTCAAGCAAATGGCAATGACTCTGAGGGCACTATATATAGAGAGAAAGACTCTTAAGATTGATTATATGTATCTGACGTGGCCACGGAGAGGGGTGTACCTACATCTCAGTTACCACTACCCAACCTCACTTGTGGCTGGAATCAGCAAACAGTATATTGTAAATGTATTTCTGTGCTTTTCTGAAATTTAAAAAATTTCCCTTTAATTTTTTTCCTTTTATAAAACTAACCCAATCGATGTCGGCAAAACAAGGAAGGGTTTTTTGGTTTTTTTGTTTTTGCCTCTATAGTAGTTTGGAGGTTTGGTGCTCCCTCTAGAGGCCAGACGCAGTGACAGCCAGACTGGACCAAGAGCCCAGGGCCATATGGGTGAAGGTCCATACACAGAACCTTGAAAACCCAGCCAGGGATCCTGGTCCTCTGGTGCTCAGTGATTTCCTATCAGGTATATAATGACAACAGAGACTTGAGAAATTAACAGGAAGTAATGAAAACCTGGAAGAGCCTGGAAAATTCTATCTCTGAATATCTACTTATTCATCCTGAAATTGTAAATTTTTTTTGAAATTATAAATTTTCAAAAAGAGACTATCCACTTTTCTTTATATCCAAGAAATGCAAGACAACAATAGTTAATGTAGACAATAAACATAAAGCACTTTGTAAGGTACTGCAGTTCACGCTGAGTCAGTAAGTAGGTCAAGTTAGAAAACCAAATAAGCTGAACCCCTCAAATTAACGTGAGAACTGTTAACACAAGCTTAGCCTCTGTGGACACTCATATAGTGTCTTTATAGCATTTCAGCTAAATTTTTTTCTTGGAATTGGTAGAATTATGGTTTCATTAACCGAAGAGTCTTCCACTAGCTCAGAGGAGCAGAGTAGAATGAACTCATTTCTGAGCCAAGTTCTATTTAATCTGGGAAGAAAGAGACAGATTAAGTATGCTTCATTTATATACGGCCATCACTTCAAGACATATTGGAGGACATTTTCCATCTCTAATGCTCACAAACACAGGCAAAGTGCTTTTCCAAAGGTGCAATCTATCACTTGTTTGACCCAAGATTCTTTCTTCCACATCTGGATACACAAAATTCATTCATCAATTTATTCTTTCATTGAATTAACATCTATTGAATATTCCTATATCCCAGGCCCTATGCTAGAAAGGGGTGGGAAAAAAAAGAAAAAGACACGGTCTGTGTCGTCCTGGAACTTCCAGTCCAGTCGGGGAGGCAAGAATCATCCAAGCAGCATGGGAAGTATCAGACAGGGATACAGACACAGGGTTTTACTAAGAAACTGTAAACCTGTGTTTGGGAGGTGTGGTCCTGCCACCCTAGAACACTGGAGAAATAACGATTTGCCTTCACTTACCACTGCTCATCAGATATTCTCGAAAGAGAGGACAGCGGAACCAAAATGGGAGCACATGAAGATATGTGGTGAGGCCAGGAAACAGCTCCTCGAAGTCCGAATAATTTGTACAAAAATTTCCAAAGGCTCCAGCAACAAGCACTCCATGGGGGTGAAACCCAAATATATAGTTGTGACTTGGATCCAAATCCCAAGTTTTGATGAGCTACAGTATATAGTGGGATTAAAAAAATAATAAAATGGTCCAGATTAGATTCCAATAAGAAACCAAGAAACTCATGATTAGTTTTTATGTCACAAGGAAATGGAGGGGCGCCTGGGTGGCTCAGTCAGTTAAGCATCTGCCTTTGGCTCAGGTCATGATCTCAGGGTCCTGGAATCGAGCCCCACATTGGGTTCCCTGCTTGGCAGGGAGCCTGTTTCTCCCTCTCCCCTCTGCTCATGCTCTCTCTCGCTATCTCTCTCTCTCAAATAAAATATTTTTTTAAAAAAAGGAAATGGGAAACATGACTTGTTTAGTTCTCTGCATTAGAGCTTTTTCCAAATTTTTAAACTATTTCCTGAGCCCAGAGCCCCCCACACATAGCCTTCGAAATGGTGTCAATTTAGCTTAGATCCTATTTAGTAATTTGGGCTGATTTGCAGGCTTTCTCTCTCTGAAAAGAAAAAAGCTTGAATTACCTGTGATGAAAACAAATTTCCATTCTTCTCCCAGCTCCAGATACTACAACATAAAACAATTCTACTCACGTGAATTGGAAAATAGTCCTTAAAATACTTCCAAACGGTCCAGCTTCTGACCCACTTGGATCTCCTGCCTCCTTGCTCTGGGGTACTCCAGTCAAAGTAAAGCCATATCATATAAGGGACATAGAGGAACCAACAGTTGTATATGATCAGTATCACGATGATTCCAATGCACACCTGTGCTGTAAGAAAGGGAGAGACCTCAGGAATCAGAGTTAGTTAGCATCTGCTCACTGTACTATATAATCAGTGGTCCATGGCAGGGGGATTTAATTAATACAAAAAGTGCGTTAAACTGAGCCTCAGTCCAATATGACAAGACAGCAATGATACAGTATTATTTAACATTTATTGAATATTGACTATATGCCAAGTACTGTATTATGTACTCTGCCAAAATATTTTCATGTAATCCTTATATAGCTACAGTATTAATGAAGCAGCCACAGTCCTTTTCGTAGAAGAGAAAATGGCATAGAGAGGTTAAATGAACTGACCAAGCCCCACAGAAAGGAAGTGGTTGATCTAAATCCATAGTCCACTCTCAAAGTCCCTGGCCTACAGCGCCTCCCTGACATGATACGTGGAGGAATCACTGCTGAAAGAAGGGATGCAGAGGAGTTCCTACTACAGGTATTTACCTTGCTGAGCAGTCATTATTTATGTGCCCACAAAGAGGGAACATTCTAGCAACAAACTCCGTTTTCAGGAACTCTGTTGCCAGAAACAGAAATAGCGTAGGAGCCTTAGTTCATCTTTCACTACTTGCAACATTTCATTATGACAAAGCAAAATCCAAATTGTTTATGCACCGAATGACATAGCTTCAAAATACATGAAGCAAGAACAGAGAAAACTTGACCTGGGTAGTAGTGACGAGAATGTTTGCCTTAAAGTAACACATTAAGCTAAGCTAGACATTTTTTTTTTTTATGTCTGTGCTATGATACTAAAAAATATTTATAAGAAGAGAAATATGGGGCGCCTGGGTGGCTCAGTCGGTTAAGCATCCAATTCTTGATTTCGGCTCAGGTTCTGATCTCAGGTTCCTGAGATTGAGCCCCGGGTCTTGGGCTCCACGCTTTGTGGGGAGCCTGCTTAAGATTCTCTCCCTCTCCCTCTGCCTCTCCCACCCCCACTCACATGCTCTCTCTCAAATAAATAAATAAAAGAGAGGGAGGGGTGCCTGTGTGGCTCAGTCATTAAGCGTCTGCTTTCGGCTCAGGTCATGATCTCAGGGACCTGGGATTGAGCCCCACATGGGGCTCCCTGCTCCGCGGGAAGCCTGCTTCTCCCTCTCTGACTTCCCCTGCTTGTGTTCCTGCTCTCGCTATCTCTCTGTCAAATAAATAAATAAAATCTTAAAAAAAAAATAAAAAATAAAAAGAGAGGGAGAGAAATATTAATGAGAAAGGAGGAGGGGAGCATAAAGTCATAAAGCTTGGCACCCAGTAAGCGCTCAATAAATGCCACCCATGACTTCAAGGAGTGCCACTGGGTCTTCCTCTTCTGTTAGGTGCTGCCGTCTTGGTTTTAGAGCTGACTTCAGTCGCCCAAAGTCCTGTCTACTCCCTATCAACTTTGTTACAAAGAGTTTTGTCCCCAAATCATCCATTATGGTATCTGATTAACAGCACCTTGATCTATCACAGTTTGGTAGATACAATTTTTTTTTTTTTTTTTTTGCCGAAAACAGAACATATATTTATATTTCTGGAGACATGTAAATCAGTAAATATCCCAGTATAGATTTAACCTAAATATAAAATTGACCCCCATAAGAGGAATGACCTGCTCTCTCCAGGGTAGGTTAAAGTTTGTTAAAGAAAAGCACATGAAAGGTGAAGGAAGTATGTGCCCTCTACCCCTTCGTGGAGTGTTTTGTTGCTTTCTGGAAAAGCCAGCATGATTGCAGAAGCACGGCCAAAAAGAGTGTCCTCTGCCCTCATTCCTACCAGGATCATTTCATTTTGCTTCACCTGCTTCCTTCTACCCAGGTCTGAGTGCTGACAATTCACCGCTGTTGGTTAATTTTCTCTTTATTTTACTAAAATGTGTCCAAAATGTACAAGAAACTTTGGTAGGTCTCATTACTCTGTACTCTACTCTAGGTCAGGTGAGCTGAGATGGAGCAGAGACGGGAGAGGACAGTTGCTGAGTGGAGACCACCTCCCAGGCAATGTCATTTTCTCTCCTCACAACCCTCAAGGTACACAGTACTGTCCCCATTTTGCAGATGTGGAAACTGAGGCGCAAAGATTCTGAGGGTCCAAAGGACTTGAACCTGGATCTGCCTAACTCTTAAACCCACACACTTTCTTTTTCTTACAAAACCAAACTAGTCTTAGCTCATGGCAACAGCACCATAAACTTACAAATATTTATTACAAGCACGTAGGCAGGCTCATAAGCATAAGAAATCAGGCAAATGGGAGGTTCTGTTTTCCTTACTATAATGATGGAGAAACTGAGAAAAAAAGCACAGTAACTTAATTTGAACCACAGAAGGAGTCAAGAGCAGATCCAGAAATAAAGTCCCCAGACTACTAATTCGGTGTTCCACTAACCCAACCACACACGCACTAATTGAATACATACTGCATCTATGTTTAACAGCCACTAAGCGTTCTGCATGGATGATGGTTAAAACATGGATCTGGAATTGGACTGCTTATGTTAGGAATCTGCCACCAGCTAGCTGCCTAACCTGGGGCGAGTTCTTTTACCTCTTGAACCTTAATGCCTTTACCTGTGAGATGAGCTAAGGAAAGCAGCCGCCTCCAAGGACCGTGGGGAAATAAATGCAGACATGCCATCGTGCCTGGCACACAGAAAGCACTTGACAAATGGAAGCCATTGTATTTACTATTAAACGTTTAGAAAATGCAAAAAGTAAAAGCAGATAAAATAGCACCCACATTCTTGTCACTCAACAAAAGTACTGATAAAATTTTCTTTGTGGTCTTTTTTTTTTTCCCCTATGAACAGGTTATGTTTCCTTAACATGGTTGATCACATTTTTTTTTTAATTTCTGTATTGTATCTCTTATGATGATCTCACACTAGCTGTTTTATATTATAAATTTCGTATTAAAACCTCTTCAAAAATGGTATTTTTGATGACTGATTCACATTCCATTGAATGGCAATACTAATTCAACCATCCTTTTCTTTTTGAAAATGTGGGCTTCTAACAAATTTTCTCTATAAACATAATCCTGCATAACATTTCCCCTACATTTTAATTTACTTCTAGAGGACAGTCAGTAAAACCCTGGATCACCAAGCAGAAACACCTTTGTCACTTGATACACTTTGATTCCTTACGATCCAAAGGAGTTGGTCTAATTTAAACTCCCACTTCACACATTGCATACATTCTTTAATATTTCATATCATAAACAGCACCAAAATAGCTTTTTAAATCCCGTGATCCTAAATTAGATTGAAAGAAGAAAACACTAAAAAAACTAGGTGACCGGATCACCTCTCTTTTCTATTTTTATCCCATTAAGCAATCCAAGGTAACATGATTCTTCTGAATTGGAGGTCAAAGAGAAAAGATACAAAAGTCTACTCCAACATACTGCGCAGTTCTCAAAACTGATGCTGATACTTTTTTAAAATTGTCTTGATCCACAAACCAAGTTGCCCGGAAGGCCTGAATTTTAGTTGCTTCGACCGAGGTATATGTTGAATAAAAAATCACAAGCCAAAAAAAAATTAAAATTAAAAAAAAAAAAAAAGAAAACCACAAGCCAGCCTTTATCATTCATACTCTATTATAACTTCATGCCCACAGATTCTACTTCCTCTACATCATTAGGAAGCTGCCTCCCCCTTTTTTTTTTTATTGAAGTGAAACTTACATAACACAAATGAACCATTTTAAAGAAATCAATCCAGTGGTGCTTAATACATTCACAATGTTGTACAACTACCACTTCTACCTAGTTGCAAAATACTTAGATCACTCAAAAATAAAACCCTGTGTTATACACAAATAATGAATCATGGAACACTACATCAAAAACTAATGATGTAATGTATGGTGATTAACATAACATAATAAAAAATAAATTAAAAAAATGAAACCCTGTACCCATCAAGCAGTTACTCCCCATTCCCTTCTTCTTTGCCCCTGGCAACCACCACTCTGCATGATATCTATGGATTTACCTACTCTAGATACTTCATATAAATGGAATAATCCAATATGTAAGCTTCTGTAGACTTTCACTTAACATCAGGTGTTTGAGGTTCATCCATCTTGAAGCATGTATCAGTACTTCATTCCTGTTTAGGGCTGAATAATATTCCCCTCTATGGCTGTATCATGTCTGTTCAACATTCACCATTCAACATTTGGGTTGTTTCCACCTTTTGGCTACTGTGAATAGTGCTGCGATGCTCCACGCACTTCAACAGTACTAAAAGTCAGAAACAAATAAGGCTCAGCCAAAATGCATGGCATTGTCATTAAATTTAGCATCACCAATAAAGTGACAAAATGACATGATGCCTCTTGATATGATCTAATGGAAAATAAACCCCATCACTTTTGTGGTCTTTTTGCCAAAAATGCTCAACCTGACTCTAATCATGACAACATAATTAGGCAAGTCCAGACTGCGGGACATTCTATAAGTAACTGGGGCTGTTCAGAAAATATCAGTGGTATAAGAGATTAAAAAACAAATAAAAGGTGGGACGCCTGGGTAGCTCAGTTGGTTAAGCGGCTGCCTTCGCCTCAGGTCATGATCCCAAGGCCCTGGGATCGGGCCCCACGTCGGGCTCCCTGCTCAGCAGGGTGCCTGCTTCTCCCTCTGCCTCTGCCCCTGCTCATGCTCACTCTCTCTCTCTCTAATAAGTAAATAAAATCTTAAAAAAAAAAAAAAAAGGTGTAGAAGCTGGTCTAGCTTTAAAGGAAAATATGAGGACAATTAAGGAAATTTGAATATGAACCATATATTAAATAAGATTATTATATCACTAACAAATTTCTTGGGTATGATAATGGGATTGTGATTATGTAGAAAGTTTTCAAGAAACACATTCTATAGTATTTAGCATGAAGTGCCATGATGTCTACAACTTAATTTCTTTTCTTACTTTCAAATGGTTCAACAGCAACAATAATAACAAAGTGTGTGTGGAGGGAGAGAGAATGTGCTCACACATG